CACAACTAAGACCTGGTGCCACCAAATAAATAAATAAACATTAAAAAAAAAAGAATCTGAATTTTAAAAGGACTCCCACCCCCAACCCCCAGGTGTAGGCTTTAAGAAGCACTGGCCTAAGGAACTAAGTACAGAGAAACAGAGAACAAGTCTCATCCTCAGGTAGCAATCAGTGAAGGAACCAGAGAAAGCCTGAGGAGCTTCAGAACCCTGCTGCCTTGGTGCAAAGCACGCTGGGACCGGGAGGTGCCCTTAGGATCATTCAGTTACTCAGAGTCCAATGTAGTAGCATTCTGGCTTCTTTTCCCACATTATTAATCTGTTTGGAGATAGTGATGACCTCGCTGGTTCAAGAGGTAAGCGCAAGATTTAGGCTTGGCCAATGAGAGCTTGGGTACAGCGACTGGTTCAAGGACAGTGTTGTGATCCAAGCCAATTCTTAAACTTTTGTTAGAACAACTGCCTAAGAGTTGCTAAGTAGGGAATAAGCTTGTAGCTTCTGGGGCCATCACTTTATTCTCATCACCTGAGAATAAAGCCAGCACTCAGGAAAACAGAGACAAGAGATGAAAAGTGAGACCACGTATTGATGGCATTGTTGCCTGGATCCAGCCATGTCTGAAGCTGATGCACCTGAACTTTTGAGAAGTGCAAACCAATCAATTACTCCCTAACTTTTTTTGTTCTTTTTGGTTTTCTGTTATTTACAATTGACTGATATATCTATATATCAGTCCTCTTGTTGGTGGACATTTCCAGTTTGATCTATTATGAGAAAAAGCTGTAATGAACATTCTTGAACAAGTCTTTTTTGGTCATGTGCCTGAATTTCTCTTAACCCAGGAGTGGAATTACTGAGTCATAGGGAAGGTACATGTCTAACTGTATTAGACATTGTAGTTGGTCCCCCTTTCTTTTTTTTTGGCTGTGCCACGTGCAGCTTGTAGGATTTTAGCTCCCGGACTAAATCCCTGGGATCGAACCCAGGCCCTCAGCAGTGAAAGCACAGAATCCTAACCACTGGACCGCCAAGGAATTCCCTCTAGTCAGCCTTTCAAAAGAACTAATCTATTATTTTTATTATTTTAAAAGTAACACATATAGGGACTTCCCTGGTGGTCCAGTGGGTAAGACTCTGCGCTCCCAATGCAGGGCGCCTGGGTTCGATCCCTGGTCAGGAAACTAGATCCCGCAGGCATGATGTAACTAAGAGTCCACATGCCCCAACTAGGTAGTCTGCATGCTGCAACTAAAAAAAAAAAAAAAAAAAAGAAGACTCCACGCTTTCACTGCAGGGGGTGTGGGTTCAATTCCTGGTTGGGGAGCTAAGATACCACGTGGCACAGACAAAATAAAATTAAATTAAATTAAAAATTAAAAAATAAAATACATACTCATGGGAAAATGTCAGTGTTCAGAATAATAATAGTTGAAATTTGTTTGGCATTTACAATGTGACAGGCACTCTTCTAAATGTCTTAGGAATACCTTAACTCATTTAATTCTCAAGTAACTCCATGAAGCAGACATTATGATCATCATCATCTCCACGTGAACAGGAGGAACATTAAATTGCAGAGGAGGGCAGTCACTTGCTCAAGTCACCAGCCAGTCAGTGGTCAAGCCTCACTTGAGCTCAGGCCACCTGGCTACTGAGTTTGTGCTTTGACCTTAGCTACAACTCAGCTGTACCAACTGTTTGGCCAAAGAATTAGGTGGAAACTAAAACCCTCCTTGCGCCCTTCCTCTCACCCTTCTGCCCAGCCCAGGCTCCATCCCCAGAGGTAACCACCGTAAGCTCAGTCTCTGCTGTCTTTCTAGAACATTCTTTGTGTTTAGGCAGCTGGGTTATAGATAATGAGGTTCAAAGGCAGCCCACATTTAGCAATGTGACCTTGGGCACATCTCTGAACTCTCTGCGGCTACCTCATCCCTAAACTGGGCATAGTAATCATACCCATCCCACAGAGGGGTTGCAAACACCAAAGGAGTTTTTAAGTATAAAGTTAACTCCAAAGATGTTAACTTCCAGCATCTCCTAGACCTTTAGGAGGCAAAAAGTGATTTCACACCTCCTCTCCCCACCTCGGTCCACAATGATAATGCAAGAAAGTGGGGCCCAGGGAGGCACCCAACATTAGCAAGAGAAAGAGGTGTGGGTCATACAAAAACATTCCCCTCTGAGGACTCCAGAAAGCTCCTGCTAAGACAGTTCCAATTGCAATCAAGAGTGTTGCCAGTTCAAACTACAACATCCCCAAGAACCCCAAGATTGCAAGCTCCATCCAGGCCTGAGCTGGAGTCGCGGAGGGGCAGAGAGAAGAGGGACCCACTCCCCTGATCCCATCCACAGCACGATGTGTGTGTGTGTGTGTGTGTGTGTGTGCGCGCTTGCTTGGTCTCCCAGCCTACTCTTCCAGGCTCTGCAGGAATAAATGACAATGTTACAAATATGTGCTGGTAAAATACATTGTTTTTATACCAAACTGAAACACAGGGCGTAGCCTGTTGTTTTGTTAATATTTATTTATTTATTTTGTTGGTTGTGTTGGGTCTTAGTGGAGGCAGGTGGGCTCCTTAGTTGTGGCATGTGAACTCTTAGTTGCAGCATGCATGTGGGGTCTAGTTCCCTGACCAGGGATAGAACCTGGCCCCCTGCATTGGGAGCAGTCTTAACCACTGTGCCACCAGGGAAGTTTTGCAATTTTTTTTTTTTTTTTTGCGGTACGTGGGCCTCTCACTGTTGTGGCGTCTCCCGTTGCAGAGCACAGGCTCTGGATGCGCAGACTGAGCAGCCATGGCTCACGGGCCCAGCCGCTCCGCGGCATGTGGGATCCTCCCGGACTGGGGCACAAACCCGCGTCCCCTGCATTGGCAGGTTGACTCTGAACCACTGCGCCACCAGGGAAGCCCCTTGCAAAATTTCTTTTTTTTAAAGAAGAGATGTTGGGGGTAGGAGTTTATTAATTAGTTTTTTTTTTTTTTTTTGCGGTACGTGGGCCTCTCACTGTTGTGGCGTCTCCCGTTGCAGAGCACAGGCTCTGGATGCGCAGACTGAGCAGCCATGGCTCACGGGCCCAGCCGCTCCGCGGCATGTGGGATCCTCCCGGACTGGGGCACAAACCCGCGTCCCCTGCATTGGCAGGTTGACTCTGAACCACTGCGCCACCAGGGAAGCCCCTTGCAAAATTTCTTTTTTTTTTAAAGAAGATGTTGGGGGTAGGAGTTTATTAATTAATTTATTTATCTTTGCTGTGTTGGGTCTTCGTTTCTGTGTGAGAGCTTTCTCTAGTTGTGGCAAGCAGGGGTCACTCTTCATCGCGGTGGGTGGGCCTCTCACTATCGCGGCCTCTCTCGTTGCGGAGCACAGGCTCCAGACGCGCAGGCTCAGTAGTTGTGGCTCACGGGCCCAGTTATTCCGCAGCACGTGGGATCCTCCCAGACCAGGGCTCGAACCCGTGTCCCCTGCATTAGCAGGCAGATTCTCAACCACTGCACCACCAGGGAAGCCCACAAATTGTTTTCCTTAATTTTCTTAGACATCTTTTCCATACCAGAAGACTTTTCTCTTTTTAAAGACTGCAGTATGCCATTTCATAGACAGACCACCATATATTCAACTAGGTGTTTCTCAAACCATCAGATGATGGATACAGGGCTTGGTTATACTATTTTCCCTCCTTTTAAATATGTTTGAAATTTTCCATAATAAGATAATAATACAATAAAGGAAAGCACCATGCTGTAATAAAATTTTTCTGTGTAAACCTATAAAGCTGACTGCCCTATCAAAGGCACCTTCCTTCATACAGATAGAAAACTATAGTTAAAAATCTAAGCACTATATATAAAATTAGAAATTGGTGAGTTAAAGCTACCCAACCACGAACTGGGCGAGATTGCTTTCACTCTTGTTCAGAGCTCATCTCGATGGCTTCCTGATTCTCTGAAGACTGTTGGATAAGGCAGAGAACAACAGCTCTCAAAAGACCATGTGGTATCTTAAGAAATTGACTCACTAGAAACTTGAAGTCAGGCCCTGTAGATTACTTATAATAATAGTTAACTCTTGGGACTTCCCTGGTGGCGCAGTGGTTAAGAATCCGCCTGCCAATGCAGGAGACACGGGTTCAAGCCCTGGTCCGGGAAGATGCCACATGCTGTGGAGCAACTAAGCCCGTTCACCACAACTACTGAGCCTGTGCTCTACAGCCTGCGAGCCACAACTACTGAGCCTGTATGCCACAACTACTGAAGCGCACGTGCCTAGAGCCAGTGCTCCACAACAAGAGAAGCCACTGCAATGAGAAGCCCACTCACTGCAACTAGAGAAAAAGCCCACGCACAGCAACGAAGACCCAATGCAGCCAAAAATAAAAATATAAAAAATAAATAAATTTAAATAATAATAATAGTTAACTCTTATATAACAGTGATGGCATGCCAACCCCTCTTGTAAATACTTTATACAAGTATTAACCCATTTGATTCTTTCATCAATCTCTAGACGTATATTCTAGTATTATGCCTATTTTACAGATGAAAAAACAAAAGCACAGAGAGTTTTGATGACTTGCTCAAGGTCTCATAGCTAGTAAGAGGTAGGGCCAGGATTTAAACTCCACAACCATACTCTTCATCCTTATTTTCCACTGCCTCTCTATTAATTTGGTAATGCATCTCTAGCAATTTACTGAATATCAGATAACAGGGAATTGGGGGTAGGGTGGGGAGAACCATGAAGATCATTCTGTGCCACTCAGAGGAAATCAGAGATGTCCCCATAGCAATAATAATCATCTACATGATTTATCTCCCATGGGAGAGCTATAAAATAATAACCACCATTTAGGGAACTTCTATTGAATACTATGTACCACAGCACTAAGAGAAAAATACACTGTGATCATCTTATTTATGTCAACAAATATTCTATGTAACAGCTCTGTTCTAGGAACTGGGGAAACACCTGTGAAAAGACTAACATGATTTTAGGAACTTCCCTGGCGGTCCAGTGGTTAGGACTCTGCACTTCCACTATGGGGGCCCAGGTTCGATCCCTGGTCAGGGAACTAAGATCCTGCAAGCCGCACAACATGACCATAAAAATAAAACAAAACAACAACAACAAAAAACCTGACATGGTTTAAACCTACAGTGAATGGGACTTCCCTGGTGGCACAGTGGTTAAGAATCCACCTGCCAATGCAGGGGACACAGGTTCTAGCCCTGGTCCAGGAAGATCCCACATGCCATGGAGCAACTAAGCCCGTGTGCCACAACTACTCAGCCTGCGAGCCACAACTACTGAAGCCCACACGCCTAGAGCCTGTGCTCTGTAACAAGAGAAGCCATGAAAATGAGAAGTCCGTGCACTGCAATGAAGAGTAGCCCCCGCTGGCCGCAACTAGAGAAAGTCCACATGCAGCAACGAAGACCGAGTGCAGCCAAAAAAAAAAACAAAAACCTACAGTGAAGCTCACTGAAACTTGTTTCAATCAATATAATGAGTAGAATGGATACCGTAAAAGTTCTAGAGCCTAGACCTTGCAAGTCCTTGCAGCTTCTATTTGCACTCTCTTAGAACTCTGTCCTGAGTCTCCCATGCCAGCAAAAGCCCTGAAAGAAAGACCACAGGGTGAGAGAGACCCAGGCATCTGGCTGTTCCAGCTGACCCGCCAGCTGAATGCAGCTGCGTGAGCAAACCCAGGTGTAAGAGACAGAAGGTCCACACACCAGCCCAAAGACTCATAAGAAAAAAATGATTGCTTTAAGCAACTATGTTTTGGGGTAGTTTGTTACACAGCAATAGGTAACTGTTACAGTGTAATATAATAATGAAACTGAATAAGTACTATTCAGCAAAGCTACTGGATGCTATCAATTCATATGGTAGAAGAATCTGGCCTAATCAGGGGATGGAGGAGGGCCACACAGTAGAAAGAACATGAGTTCCTAAGCCTGACAAACCTCCATTCACACCCAATTTCATCATTTATGTGCTGTGTGACCTTAGGCAAGTTACATAGCCTCCCTGAGCCTCATCTACAAAATGGGGATCATCAAACTTACCTCGTTAAATGAGTGGCAAATGAGATAATATCAATATATACATACACCGTGACACAAGAAGTGTGCATTCAATAAATGGTGGCCATTTCTTTTATAAAACAAATCACAACACACCATTCACTATCTACCTTGTGGGAGGTCAGGGAAACCTAATTTATCTCAGATCATAGAGATTCAATCAAGGAACTAAAGAGCTGGGGTTTTTTTGTTTGTTTGGTTGGTTTTTTTGAGCTGGGGTTTTTTTGTTTTATTTGTTTTGTTTTGTTTTTGCTAATTCATACCTGGAGACTCAAAAGTTAATAGATGCATTAGGGTTTAAAAGCCAGCTTTGTTCTTCCTGGTGCATTAGGAAAGAAAACAAAGAAGAAAAAAATTGCATTTCATCACTTGCATGGTTTAAGAAGCAAGAGACCAAATAAGTCAATTAACTTGAAAGTGAGTGTTCCAATCACTGGGCCAATGGGCCCTCCTGCCAGGCACAGTCAATTACAGGAGAGCAGAGTCAATACCAGGAAGGTTTCACCTGATCATTGTCAAAATGTTTAAATACACCATCACAGTGTGCAAACAGGACTTTATCTCTTTGCCACTCATGGAAACTTCTGGTTTGATTCTAGCAGTTTAAGCTTCCAAAGGAATGTTGAGTGAAGGCAGGGAGGCAGAAGCTGCTATCTACACGGTCCCCCCCAGGCAGGGCAGGTCCTCAGCTAGCAACTGGGTCCTGCTTCCAACCCTGCATGCAAAATCTCTAACATTCCCAGTATCACAAAAGACAGATTTGTTTTAGGACCAGAGATGGACCCAGGTTTAGTGGGACCTGAAGTTTATGCTATCTGGGGGAGCCTTCTTTAAAAACAAGCAAACGATGGGACTGCCCTGGCAGTCCAGTGGTTAAGACTCCATGCTTCCAATACAGGGGCTGCGGGTTCGATCCCTGGTCACGGAACTAAGATCCCACATGCAGCACTGCGTGGCCAAAAGATTAGAAAAAAGAAAAAAAAAAGCAAATGAACAAAATAATGAGTACAAAATTAAGTATAAAGGTGCATATTGATTTGAAGTGAGAAAATCAAAAAAAAAAAATTGTGAGTTTAGTAGCCAGACTCCAAAATGGCCCCCAAAGATCCTTTGCCCGCTGGCTCTCACCCCTTTGTATAGCTCTCCCCACACACCCCCAAGACACACATTGCAGCGGGGTGGTCTGCAAGACCAAGAGAATTCCGCAGAAGTGATGATACAACATCACTTCTGAGATTAGATTATAAAAGACACAACGGATGCTTCTGTCTTGGTTGCTTTCTCTCTCTTTTTCTTAAATCACTTGCTTAGGGCGGGAAGCCAGCTGTCCTGTCAGGAGCAAGCTTATGAAGAGGCTGGTGAGGCAAGGGACCGAACTTCCTGCCAACAACCACGTGAAAAACTAAAACACCATCCCCCAGCCCTAACTGAGCCTTCAGGTGACTGCAGCCCCAGATGGGAGACTGTGACCACCCAGCCAAGCCCTCCTGGATTCCTGACCCACAGAAATCCTGCGAGAAATGTTTATTGTTTTGCGCTCGTAAATTTTCAGGCAATTTGTTCCACAGCAATAGATAACTAATACAGTGGCCTTCAAGAGTCATGTTCTTTTCTTCTGAGGTCTCTGCAGGTAATTTACGGTAAATGCTCACATACAAAGGCTTCCTGTTTGCAGCCTGGCTTCCACCTGCACTAAAATCCTCCTACAACTCCAAGCGCTATTGTGTGTCCCTACTTCCTAGAAGAGTACGGGGGCACAGAGCAGAAACTCCAACTGTATTTGTCGAATAAGCGAGTAAGTAAGACTCTTGCAGGAGTAATATTTCATCCTTATTTTACATGCAGGAAATGGAAGCTCAGAGATGTTAAGTTACTAGCTGAAGATCACACAGCTAGAGACAGAAGGAGTCTTGATTCCTTAGTGGACAGCCTGTAGGGTCCATTTCTTTGATGTTTTTCATAGTACTGAGTACATACTAAGTGCTTAATAAATGCAGATGGACTGAAAGGGTTAATGATGTGGCCCATCTTTCTCTCATTTGGGTAAATGTCTCTTTAACCAAGTAACTGGAACAATTCGGGGTGGTGGGGGCAGAGAAATTGATGTTGCCTTCTTTATCACAGACAGTAACGGAACAATGCAGGACTTGGTGAAGTAAAGCCTAAAAAACTAACAAAACCACTTCAAAAGTATCCAGAGGGCTTCCCTGGTGGCGCAGTGGTTGAGAGTCTGCCTGCCGATGCAGGGGACACAGGTTCGTGCCCCGGTCCGGGAAGATCCCACATGCTGCGGAGCGGCTGGGCCCGTGAACCATGGCCGCTGAGCCTGCGCGTCCAGAGCCTGTGCTCCGCAGTGGGAGAGGCCACAACAGTGAGAGACCCGCATACCGCAAAAAATAAATAAATAAAATAAAATAAAATAAAATTCAGAAGAAAAGGGGTTTGTGTTTCATTTAACACATTATATTCAAAAGCTGGTTCTGTTGGCCTTAAAAGATCTATGTAAAAACAATACTTTGAAGGCTGTGTGAAAACAATTCATTAATTTATGGTTCATGTTTCACTCTTTTGAACAATTACAAAATCTCCAGATTGACACACACAGTTAGGGGGCCAGCTCCTCAAGAGTAACCATGGGCAACACTTGGTGAGCACTTTCTTTCCTTGAAGTGGCCACTGTAGTCGGTCAAGTTCAAAAGTCAGCCATGTGTCCTGGGAGCCTGGGGCTGGGGGGATCGTGGTGAGTCATGGGACTACTTTGGCTTCTTCTGAACCCTGGAATTCTCTGAAATTGCAGTGATTTAGGAGGCTTATGGATATTATAATTAGGCCATAGGTAATTTAATTTTGGAGTGGTGAAACTGTCTCCTACATTGAATAAACAGGAAGCCTTTGAAAATTAATGGACTTGTCCACTGAGTTATTATTTACAAAAGTTTCTTCAGCTCCAAGCAGAGTCTCTGACCCATATTTGGTGCTCAATAAAGTTGTGGACTTGAATGGGAGTTCATTAGACACCAAAAGAGAATGCATCAGTCGTCCACAAAGCTCCATCTCTTTTATCACCTCCCGGCCTCTGGACGCTCTGCTCTGCCTGATTATAGGATCAGATTCTCCTCTTTGCCAAAGATAGTTGATGTCCGTTGATTTAACCTCCCAACACCCATTCTCCTCTTCTCGGGAAACAAGCACTTATTTTCTTTCTGGTCTACCTCTCCCCACCCCCATCACATGTGCTTTTGGAGGGTTGATTCCACTCCAGAGACGGGCATGTACCTGAGCCTCATCAACCAGCATGCTAAGAGTCCTGATCACACTCTGTGGGTCAGGGAGAGACACATGACCTAAGTTCATCTAGTCAGTCAAACCCTCTGTTTGGGTTGGTTTGCTTTTGTTTTTTGATAGACTTTATTTTTTTTAGAGCAGTTTTTGATTCACAGCAAAACTGAATGGAAAGTACAGGGAGTTTGCATATACCCTCCCTCCTAACACACACATACATTCCCCGCCCTCAACATCCCCCACCAGATAGTACATTTGTTACTATCGGTGAACCCACATTGACACATCATTGTCACTCAAAGTCCATAGTTAACCTCAGGGTTAACCTTGGTGGTATAGATTTAGACAAATGTAGAACTGCATGCATCCATCATACAGAATTGCTTCATGGCCCTAAAGATGCACTGTGCTCCACCTATTCATCCCTCCTTCCCCCAAATCCCTGGCAACCACTAATTTTTTACAGTGTCCATAGTTTTACCTTTTCCAGAATTTCATATAACTGTAATCATACAGTACATAGCCTATTCATTTCCACTTAGTAATATGCATTTAGGTCTTTCTGTGACTTGGTAACTCATTTCATTTTGGTGCTAAATAATATTCTGCTGTATGGATGTACCACAGGTTATTTATCCATTCACTTAACAAAGGACATCTTGCTTGCTTCCAAGTTTTGGCAACTATAAATGTTTATGTG